CCGCCTCAAGATCACCCCTCACCTCATTCCAGATCGCCGCCCTGAAACCCCCTTCTAACCGCCCGCCCGCCCCCAACCACGACACCCCAGGTCCTAGGCAAAGTCATCCATCAATATGCTGACGCCCTGGCCGCCCACCCCGCCAGCTGGCCCCTCGTGCCCCCCTACCTCTGCCACCTGCGCGAGCCCGTGCGCGCCGCCCTCCTCGCGCGCCTCGTCCGCGCCGCCACCGCCGCCGCAGCGGGCGACGCCGCGTGCCTGCGCCTTCACGGGCAGCTGTCGGCGACGCTCGAGGCGTGGAGGGCGCGGCAGGGGCGGCTGGAGGCAGAGATAGAGGCCGGCAGGCTGATAGGGGACCCCGGCTGCGGCCCGACGAGCCTGCTGAGCGGGGACGTCCGGGAAGACGAGCTGCGGCGCCTGCTCGCGGCGCTCGCGTCCGCCGCGCGCGGCGGCGCGTCGGACGGGCCGCGGGCGCGCGCGCGGCTGCTGCGGTGGCTGTTCTACCCTTACGTTGCCGCGCGGGCCGCGGCGGAGGGCGGCGAAGGCGCGGGGGGCGACGGGGACGCGGGCGGTGACGGCGGTGGTGCGGCGGCGGCGGGGCGGCTGCAGTGGGACGGCAGCTGGGGGGACGCGCTGCACCATTCAGTCGGCCTGGCCGCTGAGCTGGCGCTGTCCCCGGCGCCGGCGGGGCTGGCGTTGGGGGTGCTGATGGGGGAAGTCGTGCCGGAGGGGTTTGCGGCGGAAGCTGAGGAGCAGCTGCTGCAGATGGAGGGGGACCCGGCGCAGGTGCGCCTGCGGGCGTCCCTTTTTTAGACATAGGCGCTGCCACCAGGCTCCGTCGAGGAGCATTTGCTTTTGGCGGCGTCGGCGCGCCAGGCGTCCGCTGGGGCCGGGCCGCGCGTGGCTGGCGCGCGGCAGGGGCGCACCAGCCGCCCTCCTCGGTCCGACGGCCGCGCAGCAGCGGCAACGAGGCCGGCGGCCCGGCGGAGGGCCGGCCCTAGCACTCTCCGACGCGCCGCGACCTCCATGGGACTATCATCACATCCGGCCCGCTGCCTTCCGCCCCTCCAACTTCCGCCTCTCCACCTTCTGCGCCCGCGCCTTGCCCTCCCAGCTGGGCCTCGCGCTCCGCCAGGTGGCGGCCCTCCAGTTCTGGCAGGGCTACGCCGCCCTCGACGCCGCCTACCGATCATGGAAATCCGACGCCGGCGCCGCCCTCCTCTCCCGCGGCTCCGACGGCCCCGACGGCGGCGGCGCGTCGCTGCGGGTCCACCTCGGGAACTCGTTCGAGGTGGCCGTCGCGCGCGGCGAGGCGCTCGCGGGCCGGCTGCTGCGGCTGGCGGCGGAGGACCGGCTTGGGGTGCTGGTGGCGCCGGGGGATGACGCGGCGGCGGGCGGGGAGGACCCGGCGCGCGTGCGGCTGCTGGTGGTGGCAGCGGGGGGCGAGGCGGGCGCGGACGAGTACCGGTCCGCCGTGGTGAGGGGCGCGTGGGGCGGCACCAAGGGTTGGGGGGGGGGCCTTTGAGGAGCGGCAGGAGGGCGGCAGCGGCGCCGCGAGAGGGTGTGGCCGGCTGGCGCGGCGCCGCTTTGGTGTCGCCGGCAGACGCAGCACGCAGCAGGCATCCCGCCCCTATTCGCAGCGAGGGGCGCGTGGTGCGCGTGCCGCACCCCTGCTTGCGCGAGCAGGCGCGCGGTTGGACGCCGCTGAAGCCCACACTTCAACACACACCTCGCTGATGCGCACTCCGCATGTGTGTCCACCTCCCCTCCCGTCCCCTTCCCCCCAATATGTCCGCACCCCTCAGGACGCGCGCACCCTGCGGCTGCAGCTGGAGCAGGCCCTGGCCTCGCTGACGTCGTCCTGCCCCGACCTCGAGGCCTCGGTGTCAACCCCGGCCGCCGATGACGACGCTGACGAGGACGACGCTGACGAGGCAGACCTCCCGTCCGGCGACGAGACGCTGCTGCTGCTGGACCGAGGGGGCCGCGAGCAGCGCCGCCGCCGCGGCGTGGTGGTCGTCCGCCTTGCATCTGCGGCCGCGGCGCCGCCGCCGGGCGCGCCGGAGCACGAGGCGCTGCGGCTGCACCACAAGGCGGGTCGCGCGTGGGAAGCGATGGCGGCGAAGGCCGCGTGGCTGCTGGGTGGCGCGCGGCGGGAGGCGGCGGGCGGCGGCGGGGAGGGCGAAGGCGGGGGCCAGGGCGGCGGCGGCGGCGCCCCGAGGCTGGTGGTGGTGTCGCTCGGGGCCAGCTTCTCGACAGCTGCCCAGATCGCGCGGCACAGGACGACCGCCAAGCTGCTCACCCGCGTGGCCAAGGTCGGCACGGCGCGCGGGTTTTTGGAAGGGCGGATGCAGGCGGTGATACAACGGCATTCCGACGCCGATCAAACGCGCTTCGCTCTGGGCGGGCGACGCGGCGCCGGTCGCGCCTTCTCGCAGCCGCCGCCGCAACCTTGAGGTTATCAAGAAGACAGGCCCGCGGCGCAGCAGGCCTGCCTTCTTGGCTGGTGACGCGCATGCAGCCCAACGAAATCGCCACCCCATCCTCTGCCTTTTGCAACCGCCCGACCCCCGTCTCCCTCAGGTGCTGCTCGCCCTCACGCGCGTCGGGCACTACAGCGCCCCCCTCAGCGCAGAGCTCGCGGAGCTGGCCGCCGGCGCGCGCGCGCCGCCGGGCGGCGGCTCGCTGGCCGACCTGCTCGCCCCGCGCGACGCGCGGCGGCTGCTGCGGCTGATGGCGGCGGCGCTCGAGGAGGCGCCGCCGGGGCCGGGCGCGGTGCTGGTGTGACGGCTACATACGCTGGCTGCGTAGGTGGCACCGCTGGAGCGATGTATCTGGGTGCGTGAGCGGCCCGCTTTTGCCAGTGGGATTGGATTGTAACACAAGCGACAGCGACATGCTTTGACCAGCAGTGACGCAGAGCGGATTGGGTACAGAGCTAGACCAGCGGCCCAAACACCATTCTGTGGCTGGGGCCTCAGAAAGCACTCCAAGAGAAGCCCAGATGGTAAAATCAAACGTGGCCGCGAAGCGAAAGCCGTCCAGCTGGCAGCTCGCCGTCACTTGCCGCGCCCGCCGCCCCGGCGCCACCTGGAGGCGCCCTTGCCGCCCTTGGCCGCGCCCGCCTTGCGCGCCGAGCCGCCGCCCTTATATGCCAGGTAAGCCGCCTGGCCCTGCAGCTGCCGGCCGTCCGGCGTGATGAACACGCGCGTGCCGTCGTGCAGCGAGCGCCAACCGCCGCCCTCGGGGCCAGCGCCAGCGGCGTCCGCGCCGGCGGCGGCCGCGGCCCCGCGGGACTTGGCGCCGCGGCCCTTGCCCTTTTTGCCGCCGCCGCCACGGGCGCCAGAGCTGGCGCGCCTCTTGCTGCTGCCGCCGCCGCCGCCGCGTGCTGTGAAGCCGCCGCCGCCAGCCCCTTGCTGCCCGTAATTGGAAGCGGCGGCGCCGCCGGCCCCAGCATCCTGGAACTGGTTTTTGTAGTCTATGAATACACACTGCTGATTCCTGGGGTGATGGGACGGTGATTGTGCACATGTTCTGGCATGTGTGGTGGGGCCTGGTGTTCTCGTGTCTTTATGTGTGTGCAGGCGGATGTGTGTGAGTGTGTGCGCGCGCGCATGCGCGCACATCTGTTGCAAACAAGGCCCAAGCTTTTTTATCAGCACGTGAACGTCGCAAGCCGCCATGCTCCTTCTGCTATCAAGGCCGGCACGAGCCTGGCTGCCTTGGTTGATGCAAACAAGGCGGCATCCCTCGCTTGCCCACCTTGGGTCCCATCCGCCCGCCAGCGCCTCCACCGGCACAAAGTCGGGCAGCAGGGACCACCAGGGGCAGTCCTGCTCCTGCTGCTGCTGCTGCTGCTGCTGCTGGGGTGGCCATGCCGCATGAGGCTGGTCGCCGTGCTGCTGCCAAGCCGCCTGCTGCTGCCCCTGTCCTGCTTGCCGCTGCTGATGCCGCTGCTGGTGCTGCTGCGCATGATCACCGCGGCCCGGCCCTGTGCTGGGGGTCGGCGCCTGCCTCACGCCCGTCACCACCACCTCGTCGTCGCTCTCCTCAATCTCCTCATACTCATCACGCGCCGCCACAGCGCCGCGCCGCGGGGCGCTGCCCTCACGCCTTGCTGCGGCTGCAGAGCCTGGCGCGGCCGTGGGTGTGGGTGGCTTGAACCGCGCCGGGTGCAGGAGGTCCCCAAGCTCGTTGGCGCCCACAACCTGTTCATCGCCGTCGTCATCGGAACAGAAGTTGAACCGCTGATGAGGGTCGTGCTGCTTTGGCTGCTGCCGCCGCCAGGGCTGCTGCGGCTTGGGCAGCTGCCCCCGTTGCTGCTGCTGTTCCCCCTGCTGTTCCCCCTGCTGCTCCCGCTGCTGCTCCCGCTGCTGCTCTCGCTGCTGCTCTCGCTGCTCCTGCTGCTGCTCCTGCTGCAGCAATTCAGCACCCTCGTGCTCCTGCTCTCGCTGCCGCCAGCCGGCTGAATTGGCTGCCGGCACAGCGGGCGCGGCAGGCCCTCCAAGATCCCGGCTCAGGACGTCCCGCAGCAGGCGCCGCCTTTTGGGTGCGTGGCCCCCCTCCTGCGCCTGCTGCTGCTCCCCCCGCTGCTCTCCCTCTTGCTGCTGCTGCGGCTGCTGCTGCTGCTGCTGCTGCGGTGGCAGCGGCACCTGCTGCTGCTGGTGCTTTGCCGGCACACCTCCCACGCCACCAGGCACACCCAGCAGATTTGTAATGTCAGGCAGAGGCTTGGAAGTCGGCGGGAAGCCGGCCCCGCCGAAGCCCGCTGCGGCGTCCCGGCTGGGTGGCTCACCCCCGGCCGCCGCCGCAGCGTCCGCTGGCGCGCAGTCCTGGGGCGCTGACAAGTCGATGCACGAGGGGGCGCTGGCTGCCGCAGCGTGTGTGGCCGGGAGCGGGCTGCCGCTGTCAGACGGACACCCCCTGAGAGACTGCTGCTGCTCCTGATGGTGCCGCTGCGACGCGGGTGACGATGCCTGGTCAGCCCCCCCTCCACCCCCCGCGTCCGACCCCCTGGCGCTTGCGGCACCATCTGCGCGGCCATGCTGCGCCATTGCGCGCTCGCGTTCTTGCCGTTCCCGCTCGTCGCGCTTGGCGCTGTTGAGGGACCGCCTCTCGGCCAGGCGCCGCTGCCACGCCTCCAGCTTCGGCTGCGGCGCGGGCGTCCCCTCCACCGCCACAGACCCTCCTGCATGAGGTATTGGTGATAGCGCCAGCCCGCTGAGCCGCTGCTGGTGCTGGTGCTGCTGTAGCTGGGCAGTGGGCCTGCCGTCGGGTTGGTCCCCGCCCGCCGGCTGGGGCTGCAGACTCGGGGTACGGAGGCTGCCGGAGAGCACGAGGCCACTCTTCCGCGGGCCCGCCGCGGTGCGGCAGGGTGGGGGCGTGGCGGCGGCGGCTGCTGCGCGCGCCGGCGTGGCACGTGCAGGCGCCACGGGTCCTGCCGTGTCATCGATGCCAGCGGCGGCTCGGTCAAACAGGCTGCCAACGGCGGCGAGGTCGGGTGCGCCTGATACAGCGTCGCGGCGCGCGCGTTGCGTTTTGGTCTGTGCGTCTGTGCCTGGCGCCCCGCTGGCGCTGCACGGTGTCTGGAACGCGCTGGGGGCCGGTGAGTCTTCGGCCTCCAGGGTTACGCCGCTGCCGCCGCTTTGCGGTGTGACAGCGCTGCTTGCGAGGGGCCGTGGCGAAAGGAGAGAGGTGCTGGCGGGTGCCTTCGGCTCGCCGCTGAGCGGCGGAGCTGCGGCTGGGGCTGCAAACGGCGGGGGCGGCGTCAAGAGCGCCGCAGGGCCAAACTTGCGAGCGCTGACGCTAAGGCTCCGACGCACGGGCACTGCGTCCGCCATATGCCCAGGGCCAGTGTCGTGCTGCCGCTGCGCGCCGCTCGGTGTGCTGCGCTGCCGATGTTGCGCAGCTCTGCCTGCGCAAGGGCTTGAATATGCGTTATGCTATGAGGCCATGATGCTGCGCTCAAGGGGTTGTTGCGAGAAGGAAACTTTGTGTTTGAAGTGAAACACTGGATCAAATCGTGTTTGGCGGTGACGGCCTCATGAGGTATGTAGCTTCCAATTGTTATCAATCTCAAATTGATGTAGAGATTACGCAGCGAGCCTTGAAAGAGCCGGTGGCGAACTGATCTCGAAAGCCTGAGTAAAAGCTCGCCCGCACAAGCTTGCGGGCTCGATCCAGTCTATCATTATAGCAATAATTCAAGGCAGCTGCAGCAGCAGGCGCGGGAGGCGCTGCGGCTGCGGTCATGGCGCCGCCATGGCACCAGCCGGCGATAGAGCAGCAGGCGGCGCTGGTGTGCACGAAGGAGCCATTCACAGAGCCTGACATGCCCCGAAAGATGTGAGCCATACGCTGTGTGGTCATATCACCTACCTGGTCGCTCAAAAGCAGCCGTACACACGCAGGGCAAGCGCAAAGGCCCTGGCGCGCAGCATTCGCAACGTGCTTGTCGGCGCAGCAGCAATCGCCTTCCCATGCTCGTCGCGGCTCCCTACAATGTACCCCTCCCCCCCCCCCCCGTCGGACACCCAACCGCGCGCCATATCGCTGCCACACCGCGCGCCGCCCGCAGCCAGCAGATCTCCTTCGGGCTGCAGACGCCGGAAGACATCATGAGATGCGGCGTGCTCAACGTCTGGGAGCGCTCGCTGTACAAGGTGCGCGCCGCCTGTTCTGCAGCTGCCGCGCAGCTGCCATGCGGGTACAGACCGCGCAGCGGTGCTGCGGATGCGGTGCGGGCGGTGCGAGAGCGGCGGCTCCACTGCGCAGCAGCCGCAGCCTCTTCAACAGGGCATTGCAGGTGTCGGCACCGCGCACAGGCTGCGGAAGCGGCCAGCGGGCATGGGTCGGGTTGGAGGCGCAGGGGCAGCGGCTGAAGCACGCCGCGCAGTCCAGCAGCGACACCGACGACGGCGGCGCAGCAGCAGCTGCAGGGGCTGCAGCTGCGGCCGCAGCAGCGCGACCAGCGGCCGTGGGTGGGCGCAGCGGATTTGGTGCACTTGCGGTGCACCCACGGCCAAAGGCCCGAGGCGGCGTGCCAGCCTTTTCTCACGCGACAAATCCCCCCCTCCCTGATCAAACCTTGTTATGTTTGTCATTAATTAGATGCCCGAGAGGGTGCCTCATGCCAACGGTGTCCTGGACAGGCGGCTGGTGAGAGGCGCCCCCGGCCGGCGTGTGCGGCAGGAGGGAGGGGGGGCGCGCCGCCATGGGGGCCGCGTCTCGGTATGGTCGCGGCCTTCTCGCCGGCAGCCGAGCTTGGCCAGTTCTCACTGGGTCGCGCGACCAATCCAAGCGGCTGCACGCGCACGCCTCATCGGATCCCGTTGATCCACGCCTACCCCAAGGGGGCCATCCCACACAGGGCATGGATCGACCCTGGCCGCCCCCCAACTCGGCTGACCTCTCCCCGCCTATGCCCCCCCCCCC